GTTCGTCCGTCGTGCCACGCGGGTGGAGTAGAGAAGAAGAGGCGGACGAAAGAACGGAGAGAGAGAGAGAGAGAGAGAGAGTAAGAAGGGGCGTCGAGGTGGTGGGGACGTGGAAATGAGAGAGGAATGGCGAAGGCGCGGGGGGGAGGAAGGAGCGGGGGAAGCCAACACAACAGCTGCATGGGCTGGGCAGGCCCTGGCCGGGCCCAAGCGGCCCCCGCCTTCGTCGCAGCGCCGTGGGCCAACGCCCGCCCGCCTGCCGCACCAAGCCGCCCTCCTCTGCCCGTCGAGCACTAGGATATTCAAAGCCAGTCATCGACTCCATTCACCCCTCGTCTTCCCAAGACGACGACGACGACAACGGCGCTGCGTCCACTGCCGCACGCTCAGGGCACTCAATCACCTTGCTCGATGTCAGCGAGACTAGAGTGTCGGCAAGGGCGGCTGGTATTACGAGCAGAGCAAAGCAGGGCAAAGCGAGACACAAGTACAACGGGAGCAGAGCAGAGCAGAGCAGAGAACAGAACGGATCCAGCACGCAAAGGCAAAAAGGCAAAGAGCGACAAAGGGCAGCAAAAGAGCAAGAAAAAGGGCGAGCCCAGCTCAAAGGGGCATGCTTCGAGGCCGAGGCGGACAGACCCCCGCGACCGGCGCAGAAGGGCCTTGCTTGCCTGTCAGGCAAGTGCTGACGCGCGCGCTCGAGGCCTCCTTGCCGCCTTGCGCCGTTAACGACGGCGGCGGGCAGCAGCAGCTGGCATGCAGTGGAAGTCGAAGGTGCAAAGAGGGCCGGGCCGAGATGTCAGAGCGCCACCACGCCGCACGCCAGCGCACCCACCGCCAGCGTCACGGCCGTCGACGTCCAGCGCTGCAGCGCACCGGCGGCGGCCAGCGGAGGCGACGCTGCCGAAGACGACGGCGACGACGCCGCGTGCACATTGCCACTCGAGTACGGCACCCGGTGGCCGTTGACGACAATGGAAGTGGGCTCAGCATCCCCACTGCCGCTCAGCAGCTGGAGCGATGCCGTGTCGCTTGAGTCGCCGGCATCGACACCAACGTTGGCGTTGCTGCTCGACACGCTGGCACCGCCGTCGTCGTCCGAGTCGCTGCCATCGCCGTCGTCGCTGCTGCTGCTGCTGTCGCCGTCGTACTTGGACCCCGGCCGGCTCGAGTCGGCATCTGGGCTGGAGCTCCTCAGCGTCGGCGACTCGAGCACCCAGCGCAGCGCGCCCAGGATGTGGCCCTGGAAGTCAGAGTCCCTCCAAGACGCGTTGGTGTGGCCCAGCGCCGTGTAGAACGAGCGGCCGTCGCCGCCCTTGCCCTCGACGTGCTTCTTGCGGTCCTTTTTCTTGGGATCCGTGCCGCCGCCCACCTTGACGTGCGGGTTGTAGTCGAGCTGGCCCCCCTCCTTGTACCACGCGATCGGATGTGGCGAGCCCTGCAGCGCCGCCCGGTCCGCCTTGGACGTCACCGGGTCCGGGTAGCTGCTCTCGTCGGCCGACAGCACCAGCTGCTTGCCGTAGTCTCGCGGGTTCGAGCGGAAGTTGTACATCTCGTCGTACACCTGCGGTATGCAAAGGCGTGCGGGAAAATCCGTCAGCAGCGGTCCAAGCGCCACCGGCGGGGAGGGCCGTGATCGCGTCGAGCCGCGTCGGCGTGCACTCACCTTCCACGTCTTGCCCAGGTGGGCGACCGAGGGGTGGGAGCGGTCCTCGACGTTGAGGGTGGCGTGGCAGATTTCCGGGTGGTAGTCAAAGTAGGCGCCCACCAGCCTGCCGTACCACGCGTGGTCGTCGAGGGCGTCGCACGCCTCGTGGATGCCCATGTAGCCGCCGCCGGCCTCGATGTACTTGCGCATGTTGGCCGCGCCCTTGGTGGAGAGCGCCTTGCCGCTGACGCTGACAAAGACGAGGGCGTCAAACTGGTCCAGGTAGCCGTCCTTGTTGAAGTCGGTCGGGTCCTCGGAGTGCACCGAGTCCCATCCCGGAGTGTTGTTCTTGCCAAGCGAGCGGATTGTCTTGACGGCCGTGGGGATGCTATAGTGGCGGAAGCCCTCGGTGTAAGAGTAGATGAGCACCTTCTTCTTGGCCTCGGCCGAAGAGAACGCGGCGAGCGCCAGCAGCAGCGCCGGCAGCGCCAGCGGCGATACGGTCGAGATCTTCATTGGCGCGATGGCAAGGAGGGGGCGAGACAAGGCAAGGCGATGGCGACACGAGGAGAGGAGAAAGCCGAGGACTGTCGCGTGAGATGCTGTCTGCTGTGTGCCGAAATCAGCAGAAACGGGTCGATATCGGATCGGGTTCGAGTCGAGCTGGTTAGGGAGCGTCGAGAGAGTCGGAGCGAGGCAAATGAAAGGCAAGAGAGCGTGTGCGGCCGTATGGCGGTATCAGGGTGAGTCGCGGGTCGATAGAGGGGAGGGAGGGGCAGTATTATTAGGGGAGGGGGCTTTTGGCTGGAGGGATAGGGGAGGGGACGGAGCGGCAGATGGTGATGATGGTGGTGATGGCGGCAGCGACGGCGAGGACGCTGACGACCACGACGGACCAAGGGATGGGGCAGCATGGAGCGGCGTCGTTGGCTCAGGGGCCAGGCGGCGAAGGGGCTCAGCTGGCTCGCTAGCTCGCGCTCGCTTCGTGTGACCACCAGGTCGCTGGCTGCAGCAGCGCACCTCGTGTCGAGCAAAACAGGCAAGCAGGCAGCTTGAGAACCCCGCCGTTCCTGCTGGACCTTCCATGGTTCTCGCAAAGCCTCTTCTGTCGCTGCCAGTCTTTGTCGCCGCGATCGCCTCGCGTCCTCGAAAGCTTCTGTATCAGGTGCCTCCCCCTAGCGATTGCTGGAGCGGGGTTGGCACGCCCAGTGTCGAGCAAAGAGAGCGCCCCACGGTGTGCAAGCTCTGTTTGGGAGGCATGTGGGCATTCCCAGCGCTGTCATGGCTTCCATCGGTTGGAGTTTGTCGTGACGCTGATCGCCGGCGGTGGCGTTCGAGGTGATCATCGCCATCATGGTCGCCATCGTCATCGTCAGGCCACGCCAGCGCTAGAGTTACGTGGTGCTTCATGTGGCAGCATACCGGCGGCCGGCGAGCCAGAGGGCAGCTGGCATGGGACAGCGACAATGGCATGTGGCCGCAAGGCCAACAGAGCAGAGCGGAGCGTCATCCATGCGGGCGTCGGTGGCGGCGACGACCGGCAAGCGGCAGCAAAGACCGGCTCGAGAGGCAGCGAGCAAGCAAGCAAGGCAGGCCCGGGAGAAGAAGAATTCATGAGGCAGGCTGGGCCGGCAGCGCGGGCTGAGGCGGGGCGCGCGGTGCTTGAGCGGCGGAGAATGCTGGGCCAGATGAAAAGGATCGACGGCGTGCGTGGGCATGCAGCCGAGGCGGTACCAGGCTGGCTGGGCGCTGCGCTCCTGTTGGCTTGGCAGGCATCGTGCATCGGCTCGCTCTGCGTCGGCCTATCTCTTGACTGCCTTGCCTCGTCGTCGGCCCAGGTCCACGGCTCGAGCAGTCAGCGCGCGCTGCATACGCCTCGCTCTACCGGCTGGTCACTCGAGTGTGTGGGGCGAGTAGCCATCACGATCTGAACGCTGATCATACAACGCCTGCTGTTGCTGCTTACCGGTGACTAGTTGCTGCTTGATGAACAGGCTTGACGGCGGTAGTGCAGGGGGATGGACGCCGCCCCTGCCTCGGGAAACGCGCAGAGAAGCAAGCAAGCAAGGCAAGCCAGCCAGCCAGCCAGCCAGCCAGCCAGCCTCTGGCAGCAACATTGCGGGTCAGGGGCAGGAGGCTCGCTAGGCTAGCCCAGCTCTCCTCCCGGCAAGAGGTGAAGCGAGTCGGAGCAGCGACTTTGAAGGATCCTTCGGGTGCATCCCTTGGCTGGCCATCGTCTGTCGGACTGTCGATCCTCGTTTAGTCCGGCGACGCAATCGTCGAAGAGCGGAGCGGCCGGCGCGGGTGATGGATGGCCGCTTGGCCAGCGTCTTCTTCAAGGGCCCCTGAAGACTGTGCTGTGTGGGCAAGCAGGATGAGCAGCGAGGAGCCGACAGCGAGCAAAGGGAGGATGAGCCAGGCTCGTCGCTGGCGTTGGGAACGAGGGGTGCCTGGGCCGTGGGATGGGATAGGTCAAGCTGGCGCGCTGCCAGTGGTTCTACCGCTCTTTGAGCCCGATAGCAGCGCGACGGCCAGGGTATGGACTATGTAGCTGTGGCATCGGGGGCAGTCGTGCCCGTGCATAGGCAGTCACGGCCCATCCCGAGCGTCGAGCGGTGGCAGCGCAGAGGAGCGGTCGATGGCGGCGGGAAGGAAGAGGTGGGCCGTGGTGGTCGTCGCGCGTTGGCGGCTGGGTGACGCGCCCCGGACTTGATTGTATCGGGCGAGAATGTGGGCGCCCTCCCTTGCTTGCTTGGCTTGCTTGGCTGACTGGCCGACAGCGGCAGGAAGGACCCTGCTTTGGGCTCTCCACACGACCGCCGCCTCCGAAACTTTTTTTCTTCCGAGGCCGCTGTCTGCGTGGGGGGTTGGCGCCGTCCTTGGCTTCGACTTCCATCTCGACCGCGACCATTAAGATTACTCTACCACTCTCGCCCTCGCCGACCCTCGTTCTTTGCCTCTTGGACTGCTCCTCGGCCGACATACCCATCACCATCCTACCTAAAGGCACACACGCTCCACAGCAACTCACGCGCGCGCCCCTCTGATCGGCCTGCCGCCAACTCGAGTCTTCTGCTCGCCATCACCCCAACAGCTCCGGATCCCTGTTCGGCCCTACATCACCACCCCCATCGACTCTGTGGCCGACCGCCCGCCCCATCGTCGCGATGGACTTCCAGAAACTGCGTCCCGTGGCAAACACCAACGCTCGCGCATCCTCCAGCAGGTCCGGCGAGTCGCACTACTGGCGCAAGTTCCGCTCGCCCGTCTTTGTAAAGGAGTTTGCGCCCGTCACCTCGATCCACTTTGTCCCAAACGTTTCCACCTTTTCCACCATCGACTCCTCCTCGGCCGACGCCGCCCTCGACGATGATCAGCACGCCCTCGACGCACCATCCTCGTCGCGCAGCGCAGCCCTCACATCCTCGGCCACGTCGTCGCAGCCCGCCTCGGCCAGCGCACGCCAAAAGTTTGCAGTGACGACGGGCACCCGCGTCCAGATCTACAGCATGCGCACCTCGCGCGTCGTAAAGACGGTATCCCGCTTCTCGGACGTGGCGCGCAGCGCGAGCTTCCGCTCCGACGGCAGGCTCATGGTCGCAGGAGACGACTCGGGCCTCGTCCAGGTCTTTGACGTAAACTCGCGCATGATCCTCCGAACCCTCCGCGGCCACTCGAACCCCGTGCACGTCTCCCGCTTCTCGCCAAATTCGACTCAGATCCTCACCGCCTCCGACGACCGCACCGTCCGCCTGTGGGACATGCCAGAGCAAAAGTGCCTACGCACCTTTGAGGGCCACGACGACTACGTCCGCTCTGGCGTCGTCTCGTCCGACAACCCCTCGCTCATGCTCACGGGCTCCTACGACACCACTGTACGCCTCTGGGACGCGCGCATGGCCGAGTCCGGCGGACAGGCCATGGCCATGGACCACGGCGCTCCCGTCGAGGACGTCCTCATCTACCCGACCGGCGGCGGAGGCGTGGCCCTCAGCGCCGGCGGCCCGCAGATGAAGGTGTGGGACCTCATGATGGGCGGACGCTGCATGGCCTCGATCTCCAACCACCAAAAGACCATCACCTCGCTCGCCCTCTCGGTGCACTCGGGCGCCGACACGACCGCCACCGGCGGCCTTGGCGGCATGCGCGTCCTCTCGGCGGGTCTCGACCAGCTGGTCAAGGTCTACAACCCGGCAGACGATTGGAAGGTGACGCACACGATGCGCTACCCGGCCGCCGTGTTGTCGCTCGCCGTGAGCCCCGACGAGAGCCACATCGCCACGGGCATGGCCGACGGCACCCTGTGCATCCGCAAGCGCGACGTCAAGGCGTCCGAGGTCGAGCAGCGCGAAATGGAGCGCGCCGCCATGAACGCCGGCGCCTACGAGTACTTTATGGCGGGCCAGGTTGGCATCGGTGGCGCGGGCGCGGGCGGTGGTGGAGCGGCATCGGCCAAGGGGCGAGCGGGTGCCGCGCAGCCGGCGTTGCGGTCGGCGCAGGACGACTTCCGCGTCGAGAGCGTGCGGAAGCGCAAGCTGGCCGACTACGACAAGCTGCTCAAGGCGTTCCGGTACTCGGACGCGCTCGACGCCGCGCTGCGCAAGGGCGTCCAGCCGAGCGTGACGTTCGGACTGCTCCTCGAGCTCATCCACCGCTCGCCAAAGGGCGGCGCAGAGGGGCTCCGCCGCGCCGTGGCGGGTCGCGACGACGTGACGCTCGAGCCGCTGCTGCGCTTCCTCCTCAAGCACGCCGCCAACCCGGCCTACACGGACCTCGTCTGCGACACCCTCAACGTGGTTGTTGGTGAGCATCGTCGGCCGGCCCACACGGACAGACAATGAGCCACCCGTTCTATTATCCGCCGCACGAGAGTTGAAGCACTGACGCGCGTCGTCCCTTCCCTCCCTGCTTGCTTGCTTTCGACGACCACGATGATGGTGGATGCCGCAGACACGTACGCCTCGGTCCTGGGTCAATCGCCGCTGGTCGACGAGCTTTTTGGGCGGATCTGGGCCAAAGTATCCGACGAGATCCGGTTGCAGCGCGACCTGATGCAGGTCCGCGGATCCCTCGAAATGATCCTCGCCAGCTCGGCTCTCGGCGCCGCTACCGCCTCTGCTGCCGCCTAGTCATCCCCCCCTCTCTCTCTTCTCCCTCCACCACATCGGCAATCCTGCATCTTTGCTGTCGTTCTTTGTTTCGAGACGTGCGTGCGTGCGTGCACGACTTTGCATGTGGATGCTCGCAAGGAAGCGCCGCATCGTGTCGAGGTCCGCAGTGCCGCTCGACGGCTCAGCTGGCCTCGGCCCGGCTCAGTCGCAGGACAGAGCGCGCGGAAAAGAAGTCCGAAAATCGTTGCGAAAAAAGAGGGGCAGCCGTGCATCATTAAGGGGTCGTTCCATGGGGCTAGTCAAACGTCCGTCATCATCATCAGTAGTAGAAGCCGAATCGTCGCCATCCATCCGTCCGTCCATCCGTCAAGAATCGAAAAGCAAGCAGCAAGAAGCAAGGAGGCAGGATGAGGCGAGTCTAGATGCCCTTTCGGACATTGTCCCACTTGCTGCCGGGGAACGAGAGGTGGTTGAGGGTCTGGTCGAGGTTGCCCAGCTCCTTTGCCACGATCGACACGAGCGACCGGTCGCCCTGGCCATCGCCGCTCAGCTCCCACCACATGGCACCGCGCAGGCGCTTGCGGCTGATGTAGAGGCACTTGCGCCGCGCCATCCGCGGAGTGTCGTACGTGACGAACTCGCGCTTGCCCGAGTCGTACGACCACGACGCGCCCAGCGTCCCATCGTACTTTTCCACGGCCCCCTTGAGCGGCAGGTTCTGCGACGACGGCGAGCAGAAAGACAGAGAGAGAGAGAGAGAGACAGAAAAAGAGAGGGCGAATGTCAACGGCATGTCCCCGCACGGCGGCAGCACGGCCAAGAACCCACCTTGTAGTCGTAGTTGCCCGCCTCCCACGACCCCTGGCCCACGCCCGAAAACGGCTTGCCCGGCCCGTCGGTGTTCTGGAAGCATCGGCCGTAGAGGGGCATGCCGAGGACGAGCTTGTGGGGCGGGGCGTTCTTCTCGACGTAGTAGTTGACCGCCGTCCGCACCGAGGGCGCCGGGCCAAACAGGTTGGCCTGGTGGCCCGCCGTGGCGCTCCAGCTGCCGGCAAAGTCGTAGGCCATCAGGTTCCAGAAGTCGAGGTAGCGGTCCATCTCGCCGATCCGCAGGATCTTGTAGTGATCCTCGCCGCAGGGGGCGGCGATGGTGAGCAGGTACGGGTTCGACTCCTTCTTCTTGGCCTGGTGCGCCGTCAGGCCAGCGCGCAGCTCCTTGAGCAGCGAGACAAAGTTCTGCGCCTGGCCGTCATCGGCGGGGTACTCCCAGTCGATGTCGATGCCGTCGAGCCCCGAGTTTTCGAGGATCTCGATGGCGCTCGAGACAAACTTGGCGCGCCTCGTGGCACTCTTGGCCATGGGGGCAAAGTGGGGCGCAAACGTCCAGCCGCCGATTGAAAGGAGCAGCTTGAGGTGGCGGAATTTCTTCTTGAGCAGGAGGAACTGCTTGAAGTTGCCGTAGAGGTTGGTGCCGGCGTCGTTCCACGAGTCGCCGTCGTAGTGGATCTGCTCGTCGGCCCAGGCGTCGGTCAGCAACACCGCGCCCGTCGCCGGGTCGACGTCGGCGAAAGCGTAGAAGACGTGGCTGAGGTTGGCGCACGGCACCTGCTGGGGCTTGTAGTTGCGGGCGTAGATGCCCCAGTTGGCGAAGCTGGCGGCAGGTTCGAGACGGCGCGGAGATCGACGTCGCGTTGCACGCCTGGTCAGCGACAAGGTCGTCGCCTGCTCCCCACAATGGCAGATTCGCGTCCGACTCACTATGCTCCGTGGACCTTGGGGACAACGAGCGCCTGCTGATCTTCCTCGTCCTCGACTTCGCCCTCGTCCATGGCGGCCTGCTGCGGCTGGCTAGGAGCCGATGCAGCAGGGGCAGCGACATCGGCACTGCTGCTAGGCTGGGTCGAAGGGGCTGCACTGGTGGTGGCAGCGCTGGGCGGAGCTGGCGGCGGAGCGGCGTCGTGCCTATCGCTGAACTTGTTCTTGAGGTCTATTCCGACGAAGCGGCGATCGATGCGAGGCAGGAGGAAAAAGGAGCAGGCGGCGACGACGAGGGCAATTGCGAGGTAAGAATGCCAGCTCCTCGGACGCCCTGGTGCGCGGGCGTCGGTACGCTTCAGCCGAAAGCTGTGGCGAAGGAATTCGATGCGAGCAAGGCGGGCCGCCTCGCCGCTACTCACTCTGTAGGAGGTGGGGCATGGTGTCGGTCAGTGCCGGCCTTGCAGGGCAGGAGGGCAAAGCAGCGGCTGGAAAGCAGTGGATCCGGGGATGCGGTAGCGGTCCTGATCAAAAGTAGAGGTCTTGCCGAAGTCGGGGCTGGTATCGCGAGTCTGGCTTTGGCGTCGTGGCAGGTATACGAGAGATCGAGCAGCAATGGCGGTGGTGGTGAAGCGGGAAGCAGGGGCAGGACGAAGGGGGCGGCGACGTGGAGGGATGAGGCCGGCGACCTTGTCGCTCTCCCTCGCGGCTTTTATCGAGGGAGGGTAGAGTTTGGAGGGGCTATGGGGGGCGGCGTGCTCGCAAGCAAGCAAGCAGGCAAGCAAGCAAGCAAGCTTGGCTCCGCCTCTGATCTGTATGTCTGCGCTGCCCCCGCTGGGAGGCCACCGTCGAGGTGCAGCAAGCTCAAGCTCCGATGCCTCACCGCCACCCAGCTCCAGCTCCGCACGCCAGCGACTTGGGCACCTGTCGCCCTCGAGGCGGAGCACCAGAGCCCGCGGTCGAGGGGCCGTCCCCCGAAGCTCTGGCTCTGCCTTTTGCCCAGCGTTTGGGCTGGGTCGGAAGAAGTCGATGGCCGGAGGCAACGCCAGTCCAGGTCAGGCTGTGCACGCATCGCACCGCAAGGTACGGTACGGTGATGGCATCCAGCTGCAGCGTAGATCCCAGGGCCTCCCTTGCTCGCGCACCTCGTCGACCGCCTCAACCTTTGACCGGCCCCCTGAGCTCCTGGCCAGCAGCCTGAGCTTGAGCATCAAGCGAACTGGGGTGCAGCCTGCCTGTTTCGGAACAAGCGCACGCTAGCAGGCAATCAAGGCGAGCAAGCGGCGGGCGGGGGGACGAGGCGATGGCGGCGACAGGGGCACGCTGCTTCTGGCCACGACAAGCAAGCAAGCCAACAGCAGCCCTGCAGGCAGCCAGGCAGCAGGCCAGGCCAGGGCCGGCAGGTGTTGGTCGATCTTCTTTGCTTCCGAGCGGCTGGCCCGGGTCGCGGCAGGGCGGGCTAACCTGCTGCTGCCTAGCCCAGCCCAGCCCAGCCTGCTGCAGGGCCCACGGACGCGCCGAGGCGAGGCGGTGTTGGGTTCTGCCGCCGCCTGGCCGGTCCTACCTGCCTGCCTCCACCTGCTTGGCTCAGGCACAGCGGTGACGGGCGCACCTGCCCAAATTGGCCGAGCCTCCGTCTGGCAGCGCCCTGGGCTGCGCTCTTGCCGGCCGGGTTAGCCGCCGCCATCGACCGCCGCTGCCCGCTAACTCCAGGCTTCCGGCGGGCCAGCGGACCCCACCACCTACGCTCGGGCTCCACCGGACCCTGGCCCACGCCGGCTCACCCGACATCTGGCGCTGCACCCCGCAGTCTGCACCTTTCTTCCACTCCCCTGCACACACTACTCTCTCTCTCTCGCCCTTGTCGTCGATACCATCGCCGTCGTCCCCACCGCCACCGCCCACGCAACAAAGCTCACGTCGACTTGCCACGATGGCCGCCACGCAGACCCACAGCTACGCCCATCTCCTCCCGCCTTCGTGGAAGGGCAAGATCGCAGAGTGGCTCAAGGAGGACTGCCCCTCGTTTGACTGGGGCGGATACGTCGTCGGAGAGGACACCAAACGCGCCACCCTCTGGTGCAAGAGCGAGGTGAGTCGGCACCGCGTGCTCTCGTCGCTCAGCAGCCGTCGTGCTCAAGCTCGCCTTCCGTGTCCCTCCTGCCTCTCTCACCCTTCCACACTGTGCAGGGCGTGCTGGCGGGCGTGCCGTTCTTTGACGAGGTCTTCAAGCAGCTCGAATGCACGTGAGTCGACGCACCGATCAGAGTGATTTGTCTGGTTTGCCATTCTGCTCACGCCCGCTCGCCTCGACGCCTCGACGATTGCTTGATGCCCCCTTTCCGCAGCGTCGAGTGGAAGTACAAGGAGGGCGACTACCTCTCCTCGTCAGATGGCAAGAAGGTCAAAGTGGCGGTCGCAGAGGTCCGCGGACCCTCGCGCAAGATCCTTCTCGGCGAGCGCGTCGCCCTCAACACGCTGGCGAGGTGCTCCGGCATTGCCACTGCGTGAGTTGCGCATGTCGCGGATGGAGACGCCCGCCCCGTCCCGCTACGATGCCAGACGTTCTGATCACGTGTTGCTGATCCGGAGACGCTTTGGTCTGTGGCTCACTCCTGCCGATCCGCTCCGCAGCTCGCGCAAGTTCTCGGACAAGGCGCGCCAGGCCGGCTTCAAGGGCATTGTCGCCGGCACGCGCAAGACGACGCCAGGCTTCCGCGATGTGGAAAAGTACGGCATGATTGTCGGCGGCGTTGACATGCACCGCTACGACCTGAGCAGCATGGTCATGCTCAAGGACAACCACATCTGGAGCACCGGTGAGTCGACTCGAGCGAGCCTTCGTTAGGCACGGAACGCCAAGACCGGCGGAGCGGCCGAGAGGGTTGACCCATTCCTGCCTCCTCTCTGTCGTTGCGTGCGTCGACACAGGTTCGGTCAGCAATGCCGTCAAGGCGGCGCGATCCGTTTGCGGCTTCTCCCTCCGCATCGACGTCGAGGTGCAGTCGCACGCCGAGGCGGTTGAGGCCATCGAGGCGGGCGCCGACGTCGTCATGCTCGACAATCTCGTCGGCGACGACCTCATCGCTTGCGCCAAGAAGCTGCGGGCCGACCACGGCAGCACGCACAAGTTCCTCCTCGAGAGCAGCGGCGGCATCGACGTCGATAACGTCGCAGAAGGCGGCCACGTCGACAACTGTGAGTGACGGCCGCTGATGACGGCCGGGCAGCATTCTGGCCGAGTCCCGCAGCTCACCAGCCCCTCGTCTCTTTTCCCCGGGCTCGTTTTGCAACCGCCAGCGATCGACATTATCAGCACCAGCTCGATCCACCAGTCGACCAAACACGTCGACTTCAGCCTCAAAATCGACCCCTCGTCGTGATGGAGCAGTAGAAGGTGGATCCGAGCCCGCAGATAGAAAGGCAATGCCAGAAAACGTTGCGATTGCTGGTCATTCCAGGGTGCTCGGACGAGTCCCGAAATGTCGAGGGCCTCGGATCATCCGAAGTCCGTTTTCGGCCCTGCCGAGACAGAGGGCCGCTGCAGAGAGATGATCAGCACTAGTCTGATCGGACCCGCCAGCAGCGAGAGGACCAGGCCAGTACGGCCAGCTCGACTGGCCCCGGCTTGCTTCTTCCCTTCCACTCCTCGCCACCTATCCTCGCCCCGACTCGGCCATGTCCCAGCCCGAAGTACACCGGCAGGTGCAACAGCGACAGAGAGCAGTCCAGGACGCCGATGAGTAAGTGCAGCTGCTGGACCAAAGATCCACACGAGCTAAGGCCGCATCTGCTTCCTCTTGAGCAGACTGCGGCCGCGAGTGATACGCGCACTGGGGCGCATCGCCGAGGACTTCACTGCGGCCCTCGAGGCGGAGCCGCAACAGCGTGTCGAGATCTACCTCTACCGCTACGCCATCCAGTGAGCAGAAGGCCTCGTCTCCGTGCTGCTGTCAAGCGTCGTCAGGTACGGAAGCAGGGCCGGCTGACGGGAAGAGTCCTACTCGCCTTCCACAGTGCCGACGACGACGATGGCGACGATGCAGAGGAACAGGCGGCACCGAGGAGAGGGCCACGGACGAGAGAGATGCCCTTTGTCTTTCCGGCGCGGTCTCCGTCTCGCATGAGGCAGATCGGTGAGTTGACAGCCCGCTGCTACGCTGTGATGCAGGCAGAGGTCACCCTGCTCTGCCCTGACGCATGATCGGAGAGCAGCACAACTCTTCCGTGTCCTCGAGATCCTGCTCGAGTCTCTGCGAAGCGGCGTCGTCGTGACGAAGCGGTGAGTGCCCGGCTCCTCGCCATCGCCGCGCGTGCGAAGGGAAAAGAGGTCAGGCAGGCTCACCGTCGCCTCGCTCTCCTTGGCTCCGCATAGCGACATCTACTATCGCGATTCGGCGCTCTTCAGCACGCAAGGGGTCGTCGACCGTCTCGTTGAACAGCTCGCCGTTTCGATGCGGGTCGAGCGACATCAGCTGGGCGTCGTCGCGTCGCCCCGTGACCTGTTCAGCGGGAACGTGGTGGTCTCGTACCTCACTGCAGCGGGACGAAGGCGCGACGTTGCCGCAGCGGGAACCGCAAAGCTGGTGCCATCCGAAGGCGTGGAGCAGTACGATGTCGAGACTGGGGCGCCGTGGATGCTCATCATCGAAAAGGAGGCGTCGTTTCGGCGAATCTGCGACGATCAGAGAGGACCGGCGAGCCCGCTCAGAGACGGCATCATCGTGACGGTGAGGTCGAGACCGCTCGACAGGGAGGCAAGGCGTTTGCACCTTCTGACATCTCCTTGCGGCCATAGCGCTGCTCGCCAACAGGCCAAGGGGTACCCGGACTATGCCACCAGCGCCTTCGTCGCCGTCGTCGCTCGACGCTATCCCTGGTAAGCACGCAAAGGAGAACTGAGGTCCATGCCCAGCCGAGCAATCTCTCCTGATCGCTCGACATCCTACGCTCTATCGACGATGATGCCACAGGATGCGCGTCCTTGCTCTTGTCGATGGCGGTGAGCGAGGCGGACACTCTGCCGCCTCCGCCGTGCCATTTTCAGACACTGATCACCACCACTTCTCATCGCATTTTCGTCCAGATCCATTTGGCATCGACATCTGGCGGTGGGTCAACGCGGCCTCGGCCTCGCGCTCTGCCGGATCGGTATGATTCTGATGCGCTCTTGGCGCGCCTTGGATCGAGCAGGACATACCAGCGCCAGCTCTACGCAGCGCTCGGCGACCAAGAGCTGGGCAGGATCGAGTGGCTCGGACTCAGGCCGGACGACTACCGAGCCGCGCTGCCTGGCCGGGGTGATCCCGGTCTCGTCGAGGAGAGGCGAGGTCTGCTGCCCCTGTCGCACGCCGAGCGCCAAAAAGCCGTCAAGCTGCTGCGTGGCCTCGACGACGAGGAGCACATGAGCGAGCCGCAGAGACGAGATGTGCGGTGAGTTTGCGGTCACGAAGGCATGATGGCGCATCGTGGCATCCAGGCCTACGACAGCGGATCGCCGTGCTGACGCGGCTCTCTGGGGCGGCCTTCGGAACAGGCTGCAGCTCTCCAAACTCCTCCTCTGCGGCCACAAGGCCGAGATTGAATGGCTCGAAGATGCCGGACCCGTGCTCGAAAGGCATGGCGACGACCATGGCGAGGAGGGCGGTGGCGAAGGCGGGGGCTTGGTCGGATATCTTCGCGCCAGGATGATGAGGAGGCGTGGCGATGCATAAACGACGCGCCGGGAGACCGCCGCGAGACTTTCGATCCAAAGGCGGGCGATGATGTCGGACGACCGGTACAGACTCTTCATCGGCACCATCAAGCAAAGCAGAGCGAATCACAATCGAGCGTTCAGACCAAGGAAAAAGGAGATGACGGGCCCGGTGGAGCTCGCGGCGAGGCAACAGACACGTGGCCGGGTCGCTGTATGCGGATGGCGATGAGCTAGACGCTTCGCCCCAAGCACCCGAGGAAGCGTACGGGCAGGTCTAGGCCGGGCATCGTCGTCGTTGCATCCGTGCACCGTCCCAAGGGGCCGCTCACGCTCCTTGACAGGCAGGAAGGGGTTGGGGCTGCGACGAGCGCATCCAGTTCGGGGATGGCGAGGAGGGTCGAGACTCGACCGGCCAGGCTCTAGCCTCGTCAGCCGCCGCTCGTCCGCCATCTCGTCGTCAGCGTCCACGGACAGACTCCTCTCTCGCTGAGAGGTGTCGGCGCCGGCTTGAGATGCCACCCCCTTCAAGCCGTGGCGAGGTGATGTCGTCGACTCGACTCTGGCCCAAGCAAGGCATCACCATGCATGCATGCGGGCGTGGATGGTGGCTTAGGCAGGCAGGCCGGGTAGCTCGCCTGGAAGCCGACGGTCGCCCTTGAGCCAGCGCACGCGCACGCACGCCCGCCGTTGACTCGCTCGGTCGCTGCTGGTCGTTCCAGGCAGCCTGGCTGGCTCGAGCCGGCCTGGCCAGGCAAACAACCTGGGCGTCCGTCTGGTCGGGCAGAGCGTGGCGTGCGTAAGCGTAGCGGCGCAACCTGACTGCATCTGAACCTGCCTTCGCACCGCACGCAGCCTGACGCTCCCGCGCCGTACGCGGGCGTACAGACAGCGTAGCAGCCGGCTTGTCCCCCTCCAAACTCGATCTGGTCCTCCGTTCTTGAGGCCCAACTCGTGCCCCGCCTCGCCCCCCGCCCCCGCTCCCGCGTTGCTTGCTGGTGGCTTGCGTCTTGCGGCGGACAAGCGACAGCTGTACGTCTAGTCAGACGCACGCCCCGCCCGGCCAGGCTATGCAGCCCTTGCGTTTCACGCACGGCGGCGGCTGGTTGACGGGCCCGCCGCTGGCCCCGCGAGGCGGTGCTCTTGCCCAGCGCGCGCGGGTACATATACCCTGCCATGGCCAGGCCGACCCCCGCCGCTTCTGGGCATCGCCCCCCTTTCGTTCCCTCAGCCCATCGCCGGCACCATCATCGCCTCCTAACACGCCGACTCCTCTGTCGTATCTTTCGCCCACCACCACCTCCCTCCTGCAGCAATGTCGCTATCCGACTTCGTGGTGGAAGCCGCGAGGGGAGTTCTCCTCGGCCTGCTCATCGGCCTTGTCGTCCTCTGCATCCTCGTTGCCTGCGACCAGAGCCTAAAGGAGTCTAAGCCCACGGTTGTCGGTGCTACCACGGCGGCCCGCGGCGGCTTTCTCGACAAGGCCCAGGCCGATTTGCAGGCTGAGCGCGTCCGCGAGCTCGAGGCTGGCCTCGCCAAGCGCATGACCAACCTCACCCACCTCGAGAAGGAGCTGGCAGCCTTGAAGGGCAAGATGGCGATCGAGGCGATCGAGCTGAAGCTCAAAACGACAGCTGCGGTGGCCGAGTTTGAGGTCAAGACGGCCCTCCAGGCGCTCGCCCAGGCCAAGACGGCCCTCCAGACGCCCGCCCAGGCCAAGACAGCCCTCCAGACGCCCGCCCAGGTCAAGACGGCCACACCGCTCGCCACGGCGCACGACGAGGTGGCCCGCCTCAAGACGGAGGTCGAGGCTCTCACCGACAAGAACCGCCGCCTGGAGAGGGCGCTTCGACACTTCGTGTGCGATGATTGCTACGAAGACTTCCTCCGTCAGCACGGAACCATCCCCTGCCGCCCCTCCGACGTCGCCTTCGTCCAGCTGGACGACGACGAGTCGAGCGTCAGCGCCGTCTCGGACAAGTGATGGTCGCCACCTTTTCCTCGCTCCTCGCCCGTGGCACTCGTCGCCTTCAGTAGGGCGCAGCATCGTCACGGCGCGGTCTCTCTGGGCAACCCTCCCACGACGACAGTCGTCTCGCTCGCTCGGAACCTTAATCGGCTTGGCGTTCAGCTCATCCCCCCACCAATCCCCATCGGATCGCGCACCCTCGCGGCCGTGAGCCACACCTCGTCTGGCCACCCGTCAGCCAGGCTCTGCCATTGGCGCTTGTCGAGCATCGTTCTCCGCCCTCGGATGTCAAGCTGCCGCGCTGTCTGTGCGTGACGCTCGGCAGGGCGAAGGCTCCAGCGGTGGATGCGAGCTGTGATCCTGTCTCCGACTCTATCAAATCCAAGCCACTTGTCTCGCGGCAGCCGGTTTGTGCGGGTGCATTGTGCTCGTCTGAAAAGGGCTGGTATCGAGTAAGGAGCGCTGCTTTGCCTGATGATGGGAGTTGAGAGCTGGCCCGCTGTCAGCCTCGACGGGCGCTTTGGTGGCCTGGAGGAGAGGGCTGAGTCGCAGGGAAGATAAAATCAGCGCGGCCGGGTCGGGCCCAAGGCGTGGCGCGCCCCTGGGCTGCTTCAACGGCAGAGGAGTCGTGCCATGAATGGCACTCTGAGGGGCGTTGTGGGGCGGTCGACAGAGTGTGGATCCGACGCTGTGGGGCCGCAGTGATGGTGGTCGAGTATCGAGGCGATATACATGTGGTGGCGGGCGATCTTTGGCTGGCTCGTGCGACCCTCTCCACATGCAAGCAATTTCGGCGGCCGCCCCTCGGCCGCTCGAGGTGTTGGTCTGGTCCGGTCGCGCCCTCCTTCTCTCTCCTCCCCTCCCTCCCTCTCCCTCCCTCCACCACCGTCGCGACAACCTCACATCTACTCATCTTGTCACGACCGCTCAGGGTCACTGATCGACGAGCGCCACCTTCGCTGGGCGGCAAGCCAATGTCGTTCCTGCCCGCCGTCCTCAATCCTTATGCTCCATCGCCCACCTCCAACGCGGCGGCGGCCGATGCCAGCGACCCCTCGTCGACCGTCCCTGCACAGCCACCGCCGCCGCCACCTCCGCCCGCCTACAAGCCGGCTTCCCTGACTTACTTCACCATATTCGCGCCCGCACTCCGTCCAAAGGGCGCAGGCTCCGAGGATGCCGCCGCCGATGCCGCACAGATCCTCTTCTACACGTCTCGGGAGCGCGCCGTCACCCAGGAGCGCATGCTCCGCCAGATTGGCATCGCAAAGGGTCTCGTCGAGTTCGGAAATATGGTCACCGATAGCTCTCACAGCAACAGCGCCGACGGAGCCAGACGTCGAGACAGCGCTCCCTTGACCAGGCCCCGGTGCTGGAACGTACACTCGAGCAAGCGCCGCCTCGTCCTCCTCGAGGTCCAGCACGGCCTCTGGATCCACGCCAGCATAGACCTCCCCAGCACGGCCCGCAAACTCGCCTCCGCTACCGAGCCCGCCGACGCCGCAGCCGCCTCATCGCGAAAGAGGGAGTCGCGAGACTACCACGACGCCTGGCTCTCGGACGAGTGGATCGAAGAGTGCATCCGCAGCGCCTGGAGAGACTGGCGCCTCCTCAACGGACCGCCCTCGCGCATCCTCCGCGCCGACAACGGCCGCAAGAGCCTAGAGAGGGCGCTCGAGCGCTACTTCTCCGTCTGGACCTGGAGCTGGAACCTCGAGTCGTCGGTCCAGGCCTCGTCTGACGACGTCCGCGAGCTCGACCAGAGCATGTTCACCGAGTCGCTTGGGGGAATATCTGTCGTGCCGAGCGCGCCACGATCCAAGCTGGCCCGCCTGATGAACGACTTTGCCTCAAGGCACCTCGCTGGTGATGCCGTACCGTCGGTCGCCTACGACGACCAGGCCTCCAACGCTGATCAACCGCGGCGGCAGACGCAGCAGCAGCGGCAGCAGCCGTGCAAGGAGCTGGTCGTGCTGTCAGACACCCTGGTCCTCTGGCCACCCACGGACGCCGGCTGCTTCGACACGGACGCCGCTGCCGAGGCGCCGGAACTCGCGTCGGACTCGACGCCGCGCTTCCTCGAGGCGAGCGAGCGGGTCGACATCCTGAAAAGGGTCATCAGCCACCTCACCGGGCTCGAGCGGGAACGGGCGCTGATAAGAGCAGCGACGGCGGCGGGTGTGGGCGACAGCAAGCGCAAGACTGTCACGGGCGCCGTGCGCGACAAGAAGAGCAGCCGTAGCAGCAAGAGTCGGCAGACGACGGCGACGGCGCTCAAGATCAAGACGGCCCCCTCGGCCTCGCCCAAGGGCAAGGGCAACGCCAAGGACGAGAGCGCCTCCAGCACGCCCTCTTCGTTCCAGGACGCCGGCAAGTGGTCGGCTTGGGGCGGCATGTTTGCAAACATCGGCAAGGGCCTCACCTTCAAGGGCGCCAGCAGCGAGGTGGCTTCGGAGCGGGGCGTGGTCTCGGAGCCTGCCAGCCCAGAGCATTCGGCTGCGACCAAACAGGCCGTCGAAGGGCAGGTGGACACGACCGCCCAGGCCGGATCAGGTCTCGCCTCATCGGAAGCCAGCGCTGCCGCTGGCGGGGCCAGCGACGATGCGGGAGGAACCGCATCGCAGGACGCCACTGGCGGCGCGGCTGCAGTTCATGTCGACGACACCGGCCACAGCGAGACCAAGGAAGCTTCTGGACCTTTTCAGGGCTTGCAGCAACGCCTTGCCGACGCCATCCCGATCCAGGACGCGGGCAAGATGTGGACAGGCGCCGAAAACGCCTGGAAAGGCCTCGGTGCCTCTCTGGGCCTGGGCATCAGTGCGACGAGCACGGACGGTGGGATAGCCCGATCTGCGCAAGAGGCAGCGAGTCCGACGGCGACGTCCGCGAGTGCCCCTGATCCTGGAGCTTCAGACATCGACGCAGACACGACCATGGACAGTCAGAGGCGTGAGTCGCTCACCCAGCCCGATGTTGACGTCGCAGAGCTCGCGGAGGCGCTGGGCGACGGCGTGGCTGGTCTTCGACCGAGCCCAGCGACACGCGAGCCCAGCACGGCTACAGTCCGCGCTCGCGACTTTGGCGTCGAGGGCAGCAGAGGCGATGCCGACGAGTCCGTGGGCTCGGTCAGCGATGTCTTACAGCCAAGCGGCGGGGCTGTCCTCGACGGCGATGCGAGCATCGACGAGGAAGACGGGGGCAAGTCCGAGGACCTGGCGAGGTCGCCGTCGGTCTCGACGACCGAGTCCACAAAGGCATTCCCGTCGATCTCGGTCACGTCTGCGGCATGGTACTCTTCTAAGCCGCTCAAGGCCAAGCCAGCAGCGCCGGTCGCGGCACAGACTGCCGAAACCAGCAAGGAAGATGCTGCGTCCGGAGGCGGGGTCGGCAAGATGCAGTCGATCGATCCTGCCGGTGAGGCCGTAGCCAAGACGAGCGAGACGTCGACCACGCCGGGACCCGCTGCGGGCGCCGGCAATCCCCGACTGCAAGCCGAGGAGAAGCTGGCATCGATCCACCACGACTTTGAGCTGGATGGGTGGGGCGACGAGGAGCCGGTCCCGTTCCAGTCCTTTCCGTGCTTCCTCCATGGCGGCGACGACACGCTCTCCGCCGAGATGGCCGAGCGCGGGGGCGTAGACGGGGCGAGGGACGGCGACGACGTCGACGACGACGACGATCTTGTCGAGCTCGAGGTCTCCTTTACGAGCGTGAGTGCCGCGTTCCCGCCGCCCTGGTCACCGAGACACGCACACCGTCCGCTCATTCACGCACTCCTGATCGTTTCCTTTCCGCAGCGTCGCCTGCTGACGATCGTCATCATTGAGCGCGTCGACCGCAACCAGCGACGACGCCGGTCCGCGACCTCGCTGAAGTCGTCAAGGAGCGGCTCTACGCAAGCGTCCGGCGTCGAGAGCATCCTGTCGCCGGCATGGGAGGTGCTGCGCCGCGCGCAGCGCATGCTCAACGACCACGAGCGCGCGCACAAGGCCCGGCTGGCGGGGGAAGAGGAGCGGGCATCGCGCTTCCTGCACCTCGACGGGGCGACGCTGACGATGCACAACCGGCTGCACGACGAGACGGCGCAGAAGCTCGACGAGGAGACCGAGGCGTGTGCGCTGGGCCACTGCCTGGCCGCCAAGTCGGTCATTGAAAGGTGAGTGGGGTCAATTCAGGATAGCTCGCCCTCGATGACATCGAGACTGACGACTCTGGCTCACGCATCGCGATCGGCCCCTGGTCGGTCTGCATCCCCTCGTCGTTCCTGCGCAGGCACGGCATCCGCGAGACGTTTGCGCGATCCAACAACGGCAAGACGTGGGTGGCGAGCCGGGTCGGGCAGCCTCTCGCGTCGCCTGCTGCTGCTGCTGCGGCGGCGGCAGCTGGTACGGGTGCGACTGCGACTGCGAGCGCGGCGGCGCCGACGCTTGCCCAAGCGCGCGGCGAGATGGCAAGCGCCGTCTGCAACGCCACCTACATGCTGATGGGCGGGCGGAGCGTGAGCATCGTCGATTGCGACAACGAGCTGCGCCGGGTGGCCAACGAGTTCCCCTCGTTTGGCATCTGAAGCGGGTCGGCGACAGGGGCTGGTTCGGTAGATGACCACTACTACTCTGCGATGCCACGCCATGCGGTGCCATGCCATGCCATGCCCATGGCGGTAGCGGCCGCGGGCCAAGCGGACGGACGAGGAGGGCGCAGCCCCGGTCGGACCAAACGGCCGCGGCGTCGGCGTGAAAGGCTTGCCTACCCGTGGGCGCTGCTGGCATGCCAGCCCGACCGAAGCCCGCCCGCCCGCTCGCCCTCGCATGTCGGCCTGGCCCGAAGCCGATTTTCCGTGGATTTGTTTTTTTTTCTTCGCGCCCCGAACTTTTTTGTTGACCCGGCCTGCCTGGCCTGGCCTGGCCTGGCACGGTCAGTGAGCCGCGTTGAAAGCGGCGAAGGCTCCGGGGGCGCCGGCTTCGTTGGCCTCGCGCCTTCCCGGCCTGCTTCGTGTCCAATCCGAGCGCTGTGATTCGCACGATTACCCAGCCGGCGCCTGAACTTGGTCGTCACCGCCATCATCAGAGCAAGTGCGGGGTGGAAACCACAGGAGAGGCTTGCGATATCGCGGTGATGGGCCTGGCCTAAGCCGAGAGCGGAGGGAGGGATGACTCGACGCCAGACCCCATGGTGGCCAGCCTGCCGACGATTGATTGGACAAGGCGAGGTGCGTAACGTGTGCGGACGGCATGGCAGGCAGGCGTCGCGACAAAAAGCAAGGAAGACAGGCTTCCGTACAGTATCGACCGACGACGGGGTGGGTCGGGCGTTACCATAAGAGGCAGGTAGCAGGTGGCGTCGTCGACGATGGCCTCGAGGCCGAGGCCAGCTCCAGGGTGCGCCAGCCCATCTACCGGTAGGCAGGCCCCCGCGCGCGCAGGCGGGCAGCCAGGGCAGGCCGGAGGCAGGGCAGGGGCCCACCCGCCGCCGGCAAACTTCCGAAGCGGGCGCCCGGACCCCACAGCGACAGAGCGGCGAGGCGGAGACCTGCCTCTAAAGGTAATTTTTGAGCTTGGCCTGGCGGAACGTACCGCTTGACGCTCCACGCTCTCGCTCTCGCTGCCACCCGCCTCAGCCAAGCCTTCGCGAGCAGCCGTCTCGAATTGTTGCTCTCGTCGTCGTCGTTCCCGCCGTGCTCCAGCTCAGACGAGCCGCCTCGCTCCTCGAACGCGGGCCTGCCAGCTCCTTCGCTGGTGTGCCAAGCGTGCCTCGCCGTCGTCGTTGACCTCGCCATCATCCACCTCACCCCTTTGCTCTCCACCACCACCACCTTCACACTCTCCTTGCTCTTCCGCCCCCCTCCCTCCTCTCCCCCCCCCATCCTCTTCATCATCCCCTCTTGACCCCCGCTTCGTCTGCTGTCCCTTGACGGCCGTGGCTGCGTAGTGTGCATCGAGAGCCGGTCGACTCTCCTGCATTTTGCCTCGTCTCTCCTGCTCCTTTGCTCATTCGCCTCCTCCCTTGCACTTCCTTCTCCCCGGCGCTGAACCCCCCGTCGACATCGCAGCAATGTCGCCGCTCAGCGCATCCCTCGCGGCCCGCACCCGCCTCGCCACCGGTGGCGCCACCCGCGGCTTCTGCTCGGCCGTCGCATCGAGCTCCAGGCTGGCCGTCGCACGCCCCGTCCGCGCCCGCAACGTCTTCTCCCCGCTCCCCGCCTCGCTCCGCCTCCTCGCCACCCAGAGCTCGACCGAGAATGCCCCCGAGCTCGGGTCGGCCCACGTGGCAAAGTCGCTCTTTGCGCCCCTCGACACCTTTGAGCCCAGGCACCTCGGCCCCCGCGACAGCGACCTGCACAAGATGCTCTCGGCCATCGGCTACTCGAACATGGAGGACTTCATCGCCGACACGGTGCCACAGCCCGTCCGCCTGAAGGAGGACGCCTCGCACTCCGAGTCCATCAAGCCCCTCTCCGAGAGCGAGCTGGCCAGGCGCGGAGAGGAGATTGCCAAGATGAACAAGCCCTTCAAGAGCCTCATCGGCATGGGATACCAAAACACCCTCGTGCCCCCCGTCATCCTGCGAAACGTCCTCGAGAACCCGGCGTGGTACACGAGCTACACGCCCTACCAGCCCGAGATCTCCCAGGGCCGCCTCGAGTCGCTCATCAACTTCCAGACCATGGTCAAGTCCCTCACCGGCCTCGACATTGCCAACGCCTCGCTCCTCGACGAGGGCACCGCCGCCGCAGAGGCCATGATCCTCGCCTACGGCCAGACCCGCAGCAAGCGCAAGACGTTCCTCGTCGACCGCGGCGTCCTGCCCCAGACGCTCGCCGTGCTGCGCCAGAGGGCAAAGGGCTTCGGCATCAAGGTCGTCCAGACCGACCTCCGAACCCCCGACGGCCACCGCCTGCCTCCCCCCGAGCAGGTGGCGCGCGACGACATCATCGGCGTTCTGGTCCAGTACCCGGATGTCGACGGCCGCATCACCGACTGGGCCGGCCTGGCCAAGGAGGTCAAGTCGGCCGGAGGCATGGTTATCGCCGCCACCGACCTTCTCGCCCTCACCATGCTCAAGCCCCCGGGCGAGTGGGGTGCCGACATCGCCCTCGGCAACGCCGCCCGCTTTGGCGTGCCGCCCGGCTACGGAGGACCGCATGCCGCCTTTTTCGCGGTGACCGACTCGATCAAGCGCAAGATCCCCGGCCGCCTCGTCGGCCTCAGCAAGGACGCCAGGGGCCAGCCGGCCTACCGCCTGGCGCTCCAAACGCGCGAGCAGCACATCCGACGAGAGAAGGCCACGTCCAACATCTGCACGGCCCAGGCGCTGCTGGCCAACATGAGCGCCATGTACGCCGTCTACCACGGGCCCGACGGCCTGCGCAGGATCGCGGCCAAGGTCCACGGCCTGACGCGCCTGCTCAAGCACGAGCTGACCGAGCTCGGCGCCCGCGTCATCAACCGCGACGGCGCCTTCTTTGACACGCTCACCGTCGACCTGGCAAAGGCGGGCGTCGGCGCGGTCCGCGTCCACCAGGAGGCCAAGCAGGCGGGCATCAACCTGCGCAGGATCTCGGACACGCGCGTCGGCATCACGCTCGACGAGACTGTCTCGGTCGAGGAGCTGACCGACGTCGTCAACGTCTTCGCCTATGCGCTCAAGCAGACAAAGACGGGCGAGGTGCCCTTTAAGCCCGAGGACCTCATCCAGCGCGCCCACGCACTCGGCCTCGATGCCTCGTCGGTCGACACGCTCAAGATCTCGACACCCAGCCCCGCCTCGTCGGGCGAGTTGTCGTCGTCGTCGTCGCAGGACCTGCCGCCCGTGCCCAACTTTGACCGCACGTCGAAGTTCCTCACCCAGCCCGTCTTCTCAGCGCACCGCTCCGAGACGCAGATGCTGCGCTACATCCACTCGCTGCAGGCCAAGGACCTCTCGCTGGTCCACGCCATGATCCCGCTGGGCTCGTGCACCATGAAGCTCAACTCGACGTCGAGCATGATGCTGCTGTCGAAGCCCGAGTTTGGCTCGATCCACCCGTTTGCGCCCGAGGAGCAGGCGCAGGGCTACGACGTCCTCATCCGCGAGCTCGAGCGCGACCTGTGCACGCTGACTGGCTTCCCCGCCGTGTCTCTGCAGCCCAACTCGGGCGCCCAGGGCGAGTTTGCCGGCCTTTCGGTCATCCGCGCCTACCTCGAGAGCAAGGGCGAGGGCAAGCGCGACGTCTGCTTGATCCCGACGTCGGCGCACGGCACCAACCCGGCCTCGGCCATCATGGCCGGCATGCGCGTCGTTGCCGTCAAGACCAAGGCCGACGGCAGCATCGACCTCGACGACCTGCGCGACAAGGCCGAGAAGCACAAGCACGAGCTGGCGGCTACGATGATTACCGAGCCGGCCACGACCGGTTGCTACTTTTCGGGCATCCAGGAGGCGTTTGACATTGTCCACCGCAACGGCGGCCAGGTCTACCTCGACGGCGCCAACCTGCAGGCGCAGGTGGCGCTCACCAACCCGGCCATCATGGGCGCCGACGTGACGCACCTCAACCTGCACAAGACGTTCAGCATCCCGCACGGCGGCGGCGGACCGGGCGTGGGCCCGATCT